AAAAAAAAAAACGATTCAAAGCGTTGAGGATTGAACTGCGAATGTTTCTCGTTTTATTCTGAGGAGCTGAAATGTCTTTTTTTTTTATGTAAAGTCGCTTGCGAAAATATATTTGCAATTATTTCTATCAGCATGATTTATTGTGTGAATTTATTATATAGGACATTTTGACGTTTCGTTAACACCGTGGAATTTCTCTTTAGTATTATGATTGTAGTGATTAAATCTGTGAATATCTGTAAAAATATTTAAATTTGCTGATTCATTGTGATAATATTTAATGGGATATTTAACATTTGTTACACGCTTGATATACGAATTTTGGATTGAATGTAATAAATTACAATAAATATCTTGTAATTTCTGTATTTATCTTCAGATTGGTTGCAAATTTTATCGATTTAATAGCGACAATCGTGTCCTTCTACGACGTTAACGAAGTTCAATATACATGATATGCACATTAGGTATTTCTCCATCATTATAGACATCTAAATAATGCTGAAAGTAAAACAGATTCGATTCAATTTTTAATTTGGAAGTTGATGGGTTGCTTTATCATAAACTTCAACAGCTGTGATTTTTTAATCATCGTACGTGTCTTATTTTGTTACGTTTGGATATAATATATTCATAATATAATATATTATAATATTTAATATATTATATATTCTATATCATGTATCATATATCATATATTATATATTGGATATAATAATATATTCCAACGTGTGTGACTGCTCGAATCTAGAAAGTTTGGAAATCGCGTACGAATTTTTTTTTCGCAATTTTTCAGACTTCTATTCGCCGAAAAGCGCGTCCAAGTATAAACAAAATTTGAAGCGGTTCAAAGCTAGTGGAATTTAGGTTTTATTTATCTTTTGCTTTTAAATTTTTTTCATTCCATGCGAGCGAAAGACTCTGTGTGCTGACGGAAACTTCTCTGTTTGAACTTTTTTGAACGTCCATGCGAAGAACATTGTGTATAATGTTTCTGTAGAAATGTAAGAACAGGCGAGGTTTGATACATAGAGAATGGAAACGGACTTGTAAATGAATGACGAAGGAAGAAAAATATCAAATATCGAATTTTCATGAAACCTTCCGAATAATTTTTCAAATTAACAAATTGAAGAATCGAATTAATAGATTAATCTTTGGTTTTGAAATTAATAAACTAATGATCGAAGCGTACCAGTTCTTTTTTTCAACACGTTCTATGAAATTTCCATAAAAATTGAGGTCGAGCACTGGCGAGCTTCAAACTTTTGCATACTGTTTCCAACTTTTTTCGTTCGACACGCCCGCTTTCCTGCCAATTTACTTTTCTTCATAACCGTCGATACAGTTCACTCATAAAAACGGCTCCATGGCTTGTGTCCAAATTATCCTTAATCTCTCTTCACCGTTCTTACACTCTTATTTGTACGCCGGAAATCTGAGCATGTTCAACTTTCAAAAGGATGCAATGAAAAAGAAACATGCAACTCTTTTTATAGGATGAACGCCTGTCTTGTCCATGTGAAAGAATTCCCACGTCATTAGACTTCCATGCCGAGTCTTTCTTCAATTTCTAATATTCCAGTTTAACACTGCGACGAAATAAACTGACGACGTGGATGATAAAAGCTCGACTGAAAGAATTAAGACGAGTTGTTCGAGATAGTAACGAACTGAGCCATTTTTTTTTTTTTTTTAATGTCAATTTGTTCCAGTTAAGTTGGATTAATCACTTCTTTAAAAATTTAGAACGTATTTAAATTGAATTCAGTATGTATGTTAGAACGATTACACTACTTTTACATAAAATATGTTACATATACGATTTGCATATTAAGGTACATAAAATTAATACAAATTTGATACTATTGTCTAAATTCTTTTGCCATTTCAAATTTTGCAATATTTCATTTGTCGTTTTTAATATATAATAATCTGAACGCATTGAATGAACAAAATTCATGGTTTCATTAACTGTGACAAATGTTTCGATAGATCAAAAGAAGACGAAATATTAATTAGTAAGTAGAGAATAAATTCCCACACTAAATTCG